AAGCTTGTTCTGACAGCTACTGCCCGCCGATCTTCGTTCCACATTCCTTCCGAACACGTAGGCAGCCAGCTCATGCAACCTCATGGCAACCGCCGCCGCCATTACCACATCCGCTACCTTTCACATAATCCATAAATGACTCCATAGAGCATTTAATTGAATTTTCGCACAATACGCCAAGTGTCAGTGGCAGGAAAAACACCTACCCAGTAAATCGATAACTGACTAGGAAACTCCCTGGCCGAGATACGGGAAGGGAGCACAAAAAAAATCGAAGCGAATTGTGCTCGAAACACAACTCCCGATTGTAGTCGCATTTCAATGCAGCTTGTACACGACAACCGTGGGAGGGAGAAACACTCGCCATATCAACTAGTATTTCCTCTATTACCAAGTATTACTGATTACAAAAAGCCGCCGCTGGATGGGGGATGTTGTTGGCCTGTATGGAAGTATATTTAGCGACTGATCCCTCGATCAAAGGATTTTAAAATACATAAAATGGAGATCAAAGCGCATTCTCAGTCATGGCTAGAACCTTTGTTTGTTTGTTTACATTTATATCGAGCAAGAACAATTTTCTGCCCACATGGTACTTGCTTAGTAATCGTTCCAAATCCCATTGACCGAAGAGTAGGCGTCTTGATCTATTTTAAGATAATTTATTGCAAGTTATCATTCAATATATTTGAACATCAAGAGAGGAGGAAGAATTATAAAGCACAACAAGAATGAGAAGATCCCGTAAACGACTATCAAAATCATCGCTGAGCGTGGAATTAATGAGAGATTATGTGAGCATAGAGTTTTACGAGCGCACTTTGGCTTTTATGACCAACCAAGAGCCCATTTACAAAGCGCTATAATTGATCCAAACAATGGAATAAGAGTTGGCAACATTATTGGGAGGTAGACAGCCATCGTTTGATCCTTTGGAAAGTAGAGCATCGCCAAAAGAGACGGATCATGCAAAGCTTGGTCGGCCAGTTGACGACCGGCAGAAATCTATAATTATGAAAATCTTTTTAGAAAATCTGATCGACGAAAGGAACGTTAGTTGATAAAGGGAAAAATTAGAGGTGAGGCAGCGGCGAAAGAATGATGGCCGCTTCTTAACGGATCAGGTCTCACCAAAAACCACCTAAACACTCGTGTCTGTAAGAACCGTCGATTGAACTGTTTTTCTGCTTCCGAATGTCCCTAGGAAAACGAGGGATTGTACATTGGCTGATCTCTACATGTCATTGTATAAGATGATTACGTGCATGATTGTCACTCATAACTAAGTGGATGCCAAGTACGTGGCGTACCCAAAACAGACATATCGAAGCGGTACCC